TTTTTATGGTCTAAGTCTGTCATTTAATTATTTGTTTTCAGCTTGTTTTTCTATTTTTCATTTCTCTGATTGACTTCTTTTGCCTTCTCGTGAGTTTCAAAATTTTTGGAATTTTGATATATATAGAATTTTCTTAGTGTATATCTTTTAGTGGTTGCTTTATATATCTTGCATATTCATAACTTATCAAAACCTATTGGTATCTTCATTTTATTAGTTCAAGTGAGGTATAGGACTCTTACTTACCTTTCTGTGCCTTTACTTTTACCCATTTATGATAGTTGTCTTTAATATTTTGTTTACATACATTTGAACCATATCAGATAGTGCCATAATTTTGCTTACACAAGCATAATTTAGAAAATTGCAGAAAAGGAAAGTCTATTATATTGACCCATATTTGTACTTACTAAATTCTTTTATCCTTTTGAAGTTTCCAGGATTCCTTCTTTTATAATTTTATTTCTTTTTAGATAACTCTCTTAGCTATTATGTCAGGGCAGGTCTCCTGGTGACATTTTTTTTTTTAAACTTTTCTTTATCTTACAATGTCTTGATTTCCCCTTTATTCTTAAAGCATATCTTCTATGGACATGAAATTTTGAGTTGATAGTTGTTTTCTTTAGGCATTTGAAAATGGTGTGACCCTTCCTTCTGGTTTCCATAGATTTTAATGAGAAACCCACTCTCCCAATGGTTTTTTTCCCTAAAGGTGATGTTTTGCTCCTGTTCATTTCAATTTTTTTTCTTTGTCTTAGTTTTTTTATAACATTGATTATGATGTGTTCTAGTATGAATTTCTTTGGGTTTAACCTGTTTGTCGTTGACTCTGCTTCTTGAGTCTCTGTGTCTTTGCTAAATTTGGAAAGTTTCCAGCCGTTATTTTGTGAGCACATCTTAAGCTGTATCTTCTTTCTCCTGTTTTTCTATGAGTCTCATGACAAAAATATAAATGTTTTCTCTTTTGCTATATTTCCACAGTTGCCTAAGTCTCTGTTCAATTTTTTTATTTTTTAAGTATAGTTTCTCACTGTTGTTCAGATTGGGTAATTTCTATTGTTCTATCTTCCATTTCACTGATCTGTTCCTCTGCCTTCTTCACTCTGCTGTTGAGTACATCCATTTAGTTTACTTTTTATTTTTTCAACCAGTTGTTGCATATTTTAGTTCCGAAATTTTCATCTGGCTATTCTTTATATATTTTTTTTGTTAAGACTTTTGGTTTTTTATTTGTTTCAACCATGTTCATAATTGCTCACTTCAGCATTTTCATGGTGACTACTTTAAAATCTTTGTGAGATAATTCTAATATCTCTGTCATCTTGATGTTTGCATGTATTAATGGTCTTTGTAAAATTCATTTTGAGATCTTCCTTCTGCTGTGTATGACAAATGATTTTCAGTTGAAACCTGGGCCTTTTTGATATAATGTATGAGACTTTGGTTCTTACTGAAACCTTCTGTTTTAGCTGACTTCCTCCTGCAACACATTAGCAATGGAAGCTGAGGAAGCCACCTTGTCACTGCCAGATATGGATATAAGTAGTTTTTACTCCTGCGTAGACCTTCATTATTTCTGCTCCTGAGTAGAGCTCCACTGATACCTCCCTGGCAAGGAAAGAGGGAATGGTTTGTTACTGTTCCCATTGGTGCCTCCACCAGTACCTTAGAAGTTGAGGGAGAGCAGGGTGGTCTTGTTATTGCTGAGCTATTTCTAATGTTGTTAATCTCCTAGGCCTCCTCTGACACCTCCTCAGTGTGAAGGGGGAAAAAAAGCTTCATTACTATTGGTTTGAGGTTCATGCTCTCCATGTAGTCTCCACCGACACTGCATGTGGGGTGGAAAAGGAGTCTTGCAATTCTCCACCCTCCACCCCCTGCCCTTTGCCCATGGCTTTTTACTTAGACCTCTTTTTTAATACTCTGGGGAATGGAAAGAGAGGTCCTTGGTTCACTCTCTTTTAAGCTGGCAAGGGTTAGCAACTATGCTCCTTATTCAATCTTGAAGGTGAGGGTAGGGATGGGATCACAGATTTTTCTGTGGTGTTTGGGCAAAATGGTGTTGTTCCAATGCTTCTAGACTTTCTAGGCTATCTTTTCTTGATCATCCGGCTAGAGAGAATAGGCTTCTGTTGGAACTTTGTCTGTACCAGTTGGCGTTTCTGGGTTGCAAGCTTCTTCAACACCAAAATCTGGATCCATAAGCTAAGAAGAAAATTCATGTCATTTCTTGTGTCCAGCAGTTCTTAGCTAGTCTGTGATCTTCATTCTGCCTTTCAGAGGCTCCGTATATTTGTTTTATATATAATGTGCAGGAATTTTATTTGTACCTAGCAGAAGGATTAGGAAAAACTATGTCTACACCATCTTCCTAGAAGTATCTTATTTCTTTGCTTCTTTTTTAAATTGGGAGGACACATGCAATTTTCATATTAGATTGTTGAAAGAAGTTGAACAGAATGTTTAAAAGAACTCATTAATGAATTTAGTAGTAAAAAGGAAAAACTTCAGACAGAGAAAATATCTCCATCTGTAATTTATCTTTTAATATCCATTTTTACTTACACTTTCCAATTCTACCAGCTTGTTTCTTAACAATTTTGCCTCTTTTTGGACCTGCAGCACTTCTGCTTAGTAGTGAGCTTTTTCTCACTTAAAAGTACTTATTGAATAACTCCCACACGGGGCTTCTGTACATTTGGTTCACTGCTGCTCCTCTGCTCCTATCACACAGACCTGATATCTACTAGTACTTAATAAATACTGCTGAATAAGTAAATGAGAACTGGATATTTAAGTTTTCATTTCAGCGAGTGGTTATCTGCTTTCTTCTTGTTGTTCTGAACCCTGGGACATGTGTGTCTGTCCTGCTTAATTCCTCACCAAACACCCTTGAAGCGTGTGTGTAAGACACCAGCAGAATTTGTCCAGAATGTTGCTATCCAGAAAACAAAAAAATTCAATTTCAGCACATATGTAAATTTCTGTCATATAATTTAGAATTCTATGTATTTTGAACTACAAATGGCGCGGACAACACAATGGTTCCTGTGTGTGTGTGTTTGTGTGTATCTGTATACGTATCACTCTTATTGCTCCAAAAGAAAATCACCTGAAGGACATGGCACAGAAATGACCAAAAACCATTTATATAATATGCTTTCTAGCTCCCTGAATTTGGGGGGGTGGTGCTGATTTCCTTTTATTAGGTAAGTCATAGTTTGATTATTTAAAAAAAGATCTTTGTCATGCATTGTGTAGTGCATATATGTATAAATAGGGGAAGGGTAACATCAATTCATCATTTTGATAAGAAACGAAATATCACTTACAATTTTTTGCAAACAGAATTGTACTTTACATACAGGTTTTCCAAACACTGCAAGTTTTTTTTTTTTTAATGTAGTAGACATGGTCCGTTTTAGTGCTACTCAATATGTTTGGTTTCAGTACAATCATAATTGCTTTCCTGCTTGGCTTTAGATTCTGTTCAAGGAAATTGTGAAAGATTTGATTCGCTCTACTTTTGTTAGAAAGTATAGAAATATTTGTATATGGGAACTTTCATTGCCTGCTATAAGGGAAATTTGTTGGGGAGGGAGAATCATTTCCTTGTGTTACCTAAGAGCTGTTGATAAAGTTCCTGCATCTTTCAAAGGCATCTTTCATGCCGCTCAGACAAACTGTAGCCAGCAAAGGAAGAGAAAGAGCACTTCTCACATATGTCAGTCTCAGCAAACTTGCACAGCAGCTGTGCTAGGTACTGATGAGGATTACCACCAGACCCAGTTGCAGAGTTTTGTGTAGTTGAAGAAACAACTGGCTTTCTAAGAGGACCACTTTATTGGAGATGGCAGCAAGAGTGCATCCCCACTGTTGCTAGAAGATATTGTGGTCCTATACCACAAAAACAGTGCCAGATAAAATCAGAAAATAATACAAAGCAAGAAGAAAACTCGGAGATTTTTACATCTTAAAGTGAGAGACTAAAACAAATGTCCTGGGCTTGTTGAATTCACTTGCCAGGAAAAGAGACTGACGAAGGGATGACTTTAACTCTGAAAAACGTGCAGGGCATTCGGTCTTTTCATTTGAGAACCATTTGGGTGTGTTGAGAAATAAAGTTGCAGAGTAGGCATGTTCAGACCTTTATTTGCTACATTTGGTAGGAAAGATTTTTTTTTTTCCTCTCTCTTAACTACAAGAAGCCAGAGTTTTCTGTGCAAACGAAACAGGCGTTGCAAGAATCAGATTCACTTTGGACGACTCTTCACATTCCAAGTCATCATTGCGTTAGGCAGCACAATTCCATCTCTGGTTGATGGGCAGAAAAAGTGGGCAGCTTGCCAGGTAGACGTTTCCATGACTCCCAGCCCCCAAAGGTGATGCGTTTTTCAGCTAATTCAATGAAGAGTGGGCTGAACTTTGGGTCTAAACGAGAGACAATAGCTGCCTTCGCAGTATCAGCAGAATGGTTGATGGGAATGCACTCTACATTTGGCAGAGAATCATGTGACCTTACGACTGAGATTTTGTGATGGTGCCAACGGAGACTTGGAAAGCAGCAACCGTCCTGACTTTTTTCTTCTTTTCTAGCATGGCTCAGAAAATGGTGGATCTTAATACTTGACTTTAGCCAGACTCAGCAAGCGACTGAGCTTTGAAGCACAACTTCGCCTTTATTCTGGGTTTTTGGCAGGCCACCAGGAGGCTGTCCCTTTCACGCCTGATAAATTCTGCTGCTTATCTCTAAATAGAAAAAAATAAAAAGGAAAATAACAACAGAATATTGAGGCATAACAAGTGAATCCTCAAACTGTATGTGCTTTTTGTTTTTTGCCTTTTCTGACTGCTGATTTTTTTTTAAAAACAATGTTAATGCCCTTTCTGCTTGCTGAAGAATCCAAGTAGTTGGGTCTTTTTTTTTTTTTTTTTTTTTTTTTTGGTTTATAATGAACAGGCATTTGAACTGGGCAAACAGGACGACAGCAGCAGTGAACATGAGATCATTGCATTACAGCAGTGTAGCAAACTGGCACCCTGCCTTTGCATCCCTTTGGTTCAGGAGACAAACGTGTGCAATCCTCATTTCTAAAGTCAGCACAGCCTGGAAGGATTCCTGGTCTCTCCCACCTTCTACCATTCTGCTGCCAGTGACGGCAAGGATTGGTGCAGCTTCTGCGCAGTGCTTTGTGCCTGGAATACCGAGATGGAAGAAAAGGAAGACAAGCACCCCGGTCCTTCTTTTCTAAGAAATTACAGGAGCCCTGAAGAAAAAAATCTGGGTTTGTCCTACTACATGCAAGAGTGCTGAAAAAAATGAGACGCTCCTGCTCAAAAACAAAAACAAAAACAAACAAACAAAAATCCAAACCAAAACAAACTTTAAAAAAAAGCAAACATTGGCTTATATAACTGCAGAGACATCGAGCTTTGTAAAGCAGCTTTTTAAGGCAACATAACCAAATGAGCCTTCTTTATTTTTATGATTTCAAACAATATGGCATAATTAGCAATATATTGCACTTGGTGAAATCGCACCTTTCATATCAGGTATAACTTTTTTGTTGTTGTTTCTTTTAAAGCCTGCTATTATGTAAAAGGGAATCCTTGAACTTTCAGTTTACTCTTATTTAACTCATTGCACACTTTGCTCTTGTTAACTTTTTCTTTTTCCTCTCTTCCGCTAAACCTGATTAGACTAGAAACTTAAGTAAAAATAGAAAAATATATATCAAAAAGACGGTACATGTGTTTATTCTTACTTCTGTTATACACAGAAGTTTTGGAAAGACAATAATGTGTTATCTGTACTTTCTGTGTCCAGTATTAGTTTTTGCTAAGAAAAGTGTTTAGACCTAGTTGGTAAATAAAGTAAATCATTCATGTGATTTATAGCTTGAAATGTGGAAGAGGAAACTTTTTGGACTTCTAGAAAAGTGTCATATTAGAATATGCATTAAACTACTGATGAATAAAATTAGTTTGGGGAAGTTATATTTAAATTATTTACAAGGATTTCAGTAGAACAGAAATAGGGATGAAAAGATTATGTTCTCTGTTGCTAAGTAGAAAAGAAGCTTGTTCTATAATAATACTCTCTTTTAAAATACACTTTAAAAGAAGTATTTGTCCTAGAGCAGTTGTAAAGAGCGTTGGAAATATCCATTAAGTATTTTAGTGGAAAAAGTACATACAAACTTGTTTTTTAAGTTCAAAGCACCATACTGGCTTAGCAAATAAATGCATTACATTGTAATTATTTTGTCTGTTTGTAGAAGTGAAATTGCTAAGCAATTTAAGCATTTTATAATAAAATCCAGTTTTTGTTGGACTTTAATGTAAAAGAATTATTAGCAGATGCATTCCACCTATTTTAATCTGGATAAAAATGTTTCTAAACGTGTGTAAAAATTATTTAAAGGAATAAATGCTTTTGAAAAATACAGCATTTATCATTGAAGACTATAATTTGAATATTAAGAATTGATGCTATAATATTTTCAATTAAAATGAACTTTAGGTAATGTTATGCTTTTAAAATCATCTTTTATTATCTTAAAATATGCAGGGTAAGCAATGAGAAATATTATAGAACTTATGAATCCAGGCTTCATTTCTGCTATTCTATGAAGAATTATGGGAAATTACAAAAACCCTATATACTGACAGTATTCAAATAAAACGTTTTATCGAGTTTATTGATTATTGTTCACTAATTATTTACAAAATAGTTCTTGTTCTACCATGTAGTCTCAGCTAATGGAACGCCAACTTTCACAGGCTTAATTAAAAATGGTAAATATGTTTCCATGTTTCAAGATCCTTTAGTTAAAAAAACATTATTTTAAATGTAATTTTCAGGAGCCATTAATCTCTACACTCTTAATTATCTTATTAAGCTCCATGCCAAATCCAAATCTCTTTTCAGCTTTCACTATTTCACTGTGCAAAACCTAGTCGCTTCTTTAACAGCCATCATCCTTTCACTTTCAAAATTGTTACTGTGAAAACGACACCAACCAAAATGAACGCATACATGCAAACGATGAAGCCACTTTCTATGTCATATGAGTAGCCTAGGGTGGGGCCCTATGAGTTTTCCAAGGCTTTTAAAAATATTTTGAAAGGTTTTTGCCCATTTTGATATTGTGTTTTCTTCTCGATCGTCTACCCTCATTCCCACCATCCACTGAGATGCTCCTCCTAGACAGCAGTTGTCTGATATTTCTCCTTTTGTGGTTGTTTTAGGGAAAAACTTAAAATGGATATGAAAAGTGAAGAAAGTGCTCATAGGAGAAAATCATCTCAGGTAAAAATGAAAAGCAAAAGAGCAAGTAATATTTAATATTTTTAAAGGAAAACAAAATTATTTTTTGTCTGTGTTAAGTTATAAGAATTGACTTCGTATTCTTTATGAATCTAGCTGGTGGAATTTTCATGGATGATTTTCATTTAAGAATGTATAATTTTACCTGTCTTTGTGAATGATTTTTGCCTGAGTTTGTGGTCCATGTATAGTTTGCGTCCCTCTTAATAAGTATCTGTGTATCCATAAGTACAACATAGGTGCAATAGAGTTTGATGAAAAGCGATTTAGGAAAAAGAAAAATTAATTTTTTTCATTTATTGTGTCATATACAAGGAAGTGAAAACTGGAGGAGGTGAATAAAGTCATACTTTTTCATTTTTTTTACATGACCTAATAAGACAAAGAAACCAAAACATACATTCTTACAAGTTATGACAAAATCTAAAACCAATGTTGCCTGTTATTCACATTTAAATTTATAAATATGCATTGAAATATTTTTGCTACAACTAAATGCATGATTGATTATTAACTATAGTTTTAAATAAGTATGGGAACAATATGAAAATAAATAATGGTGAAAACTATGTAGAACACATTATATAAAGTCAATAAACACATTTTAAAAATTTATTTCAAAACATACTGAATTACTAAGCAATTAGTATTTGGTATTATTATTTTTCAAAATAAAGTTATAATTAAGAAATGCTAAATGATTACAGATATGAGTGAATCAATTAATGATTGTACAACTTATAATTTTTTGTAGTTGAGTTTAGAATCTTAAAAATGTGTATATGGCTGGCTTTCTGTTTACTGATTTGTGTGTTTGCTTGCTGTCTGGTGGCTTAAAAAAATTTTTAGTAACAATTTATTTTTGCCCAACCTGTTGACCAGCTGAGAGTTGTAGGCCGACATGTATTTTAAGTATACCTTTGTTGAACAATGAGTTTTTATATATTTTATTTAAGAGAAAAGATATTGTCTTTCACGTAGTACATCTGGAGTATAAATGTTAGTACGGAGTAGTATTATGCCATTAATGTGTCACTGATTTTAGTTATCTGATATTAATTCAGACAAATATAAATTTTAGTATCATTCCAACTATAGACATATAGATATTTATTTAAGACATATCTTGCAGCGTCTTTACCTAGTGAACAAGTTCTTACTTGTTTCATGAGAAAGTTATAGTTACCAATTCTTTGAAACCACTAACTAAACTAGTTTGATAGAAAGTAAAATAAGCACAATCTAACTCGTACACAATTAACTTAATAGTTAATTTGGTTTTAATTGCAGGCTTGTAATACTACATTCATGTCTCACAATTACATAATTTATACATGCATGTATGGATTCTTTTCTTTTCTTTAAGACTCATCATCAATTAGAATAGTTTAATTCCAAAATATTCACTATTAAAACAAAGCAATCTGTGAAAAGTATTTCAATAAACTACTTTTTAAATACTTGTGCATATAAATTTGTGTTTAGTGGAGAATATTTATGAAGGCCTTTTAATGGGGAATCTGCATCCTGAGAGTTCAACATTTAAAACATTTATACTAAAGGGTCAATATTATTTTTATGTCCTAATTTCATCAGTTATTTACAACAAATTCTGCATTAATAGGGAGCCCATTCAAGATGTTGCTCATTGGCATAAACCCGTAGATCCGATCTTGTGGTGAACTGGACCGCACAAGCTCGCTTCTATGGGTCTGTGTCAGTGTGGTAATCTGACAAAAATGCTATACACAATGCTGTTCCATTATAGTCACCAAGTTCCTGTTAAACTCCAATTAATTATATATTTTGGAAGTAATTATATTTTCTTTTGTTTTTCGTGTATATTTTAACTGTCAACTGTCTTAAGAGGAAGGCTTCAGTGGTTGGCCACTTTGAAGCGTTTAGAGCATAGCCATTCAAGTTTGATTCCAACTGCAGTAAATTGCTTAAGAAAGTTGAATATTTTTTAGCAGAATTCAGACCAAGATCTAAGTAGATCCTGTTCAGAAATTTCAGTGCATATTATAGTGTCTAGTGCACCTCATCAACTTCAATAAGAAAATTAAAGGCTGTAACTGGATTTCTATGTTCCTATTTGAGCCTGTTTCTCCAGAAAAATGAGACTTAATGTTATTGATTTCTAATATTATTAATTTTTAGTGGAACTATGGCAGGAGAGATATCAGAAGACATTTCATGCTACCTATGCTAGAAACCCAAGAGGTTAGGATAGTTCTATGAGACACAGTTCAGTTTATTGCTATAATGCTAGACTATTATATCTACACCCTTGCCAAGCCCTTAGGTGTATGGCCGCCATATTTGGAGGAGCTGACTGAAGATATGATAAGGAATTTGAAGCAACATTGGAAGCTGTGTGCATCCAGGTTGAGGTAGTAGGTTGTATGGTTTAGAGTTACACCCTGGGAGTTAACTGTACAACCTTCTAGCTTTCCTTGGAGCACACTTGAGCCATCGAGGAATTCTTCATCACTTTAATCTGACTGAGTCAATTTCTGTGCAAGAAGGTAATGTGTCATGAGTATTTTGGATTATTGATGTGAGTCTTTGTTAGGCTTAAATGATCATTTCATCAATAACTATTAGATTATTCCATTTGGATATATGTAAGAATGTTGACAAAATGGTATTTTTAATGGGTTGTTACTCTAAGTTCAAATATTTTTAACAACTAGTGAGTAGTGAGTTAAACTGCATTAATATTGAAGTTTCTATCTGTAAGTTGACAATTTTCAAACTGATTATTGACCTATTTGTATTGGCTACTTTAATTTTTAAAAGTCTGCTAATGTTAGTAACTCACAAAGTACATTATCTGAGTTTTTCTTATGACACATCACTTTCTACCTTATGTTATGGCTGTTTACATGCTTGCTTATTTTTTTCACACTAGAATGTAAGCCCCTTGAGGGCAAAGTCCATGCCTTATTTTTCATTGTATCCCCTGCAATATCTTACACATAATAAGCCCTATGTTTTGTTTTTTTTTGATGAATGAATGGAGTATAACACCTCATTCTGTTAAGAATTTCTGCTGAATACTTGAATGAATTATAACAGTGGTACAAAATCTGGATTTTGTGTATTTGGTCTTAAAATTGCTTAAATTTAATTCCCAGACTGCTCTGCATCAGTAATACTACGTGATTTGATTTTTTGACTGCATTGAACGTGTCCATTCATCCAAGATAAAACATTTAAAATTTGGAAGTACTTTTTTTCTATAATAAAAAGAATAGAGGAAATATGTTTTCACAAATTAGTTTATTACAGTTTATAATCCTAAATTTATATTATGTATATTTCTGTTGAATTTTAAGTATCTTTATTTCCAGATGAATTGTTTTCTTTTTAGTATCAATTTTAACAAAAGGTGATATTTTAATTCTAACTTAACAATATGATTTTTTAAATTAGAGTTTTATATTCTGTATATTTTCCTTATCTTCTGCCCTTTATTTTTGTACAGCTGTATATGTTGGATAAACCAGAAATAACTAAACCAGAAACATGTCAAGAATTAATAATAAATGAGCATATGAAGTATAATTTGAGGATGGAAACACAGTTTTTTTTAAAGGAAAGATACCATACAATATTCTTTATGCTATAAAGCAAATGGGTCTTTTTGGAATCTATTAGCTTGTTTTCAACTTTAGCAGTATTTAATGCGTATCATTTGTATAGTGAGACTGTCATATTTCAGTCACAGAATTGAATAGATGTTAACATTAGAATTTCAATGTAAAACTTTTAACATGAAACATAGCATCCATAAAAAAATATTTTCAGGTACAAATATACATTAAGAGCATTAAGATCCCGGCTGTGTGATAATAAGCTTTCTAGAGCACTCAGGCATTCAAAATATCTTGTTATCTAGAACTTGCCAGCAATGTGGCAAAGAAGAAACGTCTGTACCTTCAACATGTAGAATATGTGAGCCTCAGAAAACTGAATACTAATATTTCAAGAAAATTATTTGGCATGCAGTTTAAAGACTATCTCTGTGAAAGAAAAATCTTTGCAAAGGCTAATCAAGAAGCAATTTATACAGAGCAGGAGACATAAGTATAAAAAATATATGAAGAGATGACAAAGAAAGTGACATAGTAACGAGAAACATTATATCTAATGGTGGCAGTTTAACACAAAGGTGGGAGAAGCAGACAACAGAGTAGTAAATAATTACATAGTTTTGCCCTTGAGAGACTAAGATCTCTTTCCTATGTGTTTGTTTATATATAATGTATCCCAATACTAAGCAAATACATTTAGAAGCCAAATCAAGTACACATGGTTAGACCAAATAAAATACAATCCCCAATTACTGTCTGTTTCCATGCAGTGAAACAGAGTTAAGTGTGTCTCAGAGGTCAACTGTGAAGTGCAGTTTAAGGATAATTTTACAAAAATACTATAAGCAATTCATAGAATTGTGCCATCTTTTATATAACATCTCAAATAAATGGGCATAGTAGAAAAATAACCGAAGAATAATGAGCATATAGGTATTATTTATTATGTTAGTTATGCAGAAATCATAAGAAGAATTCTAAAAGGCAGAGGATATAGCTAGCTTCAGTGAAGAAATTTTCAAAAACTTCTCTGTAGGATGAGAACACTATATGGAAGAACTATACTCTTGCCTTTGATTCATAAAAAAAAATTGCTGCACCAGCTATGAGGGCTATTTAACTTACTATATATTTATGAATAAATAATGTGACAAATATTAAAGTATTAAAGTTGATAGAATTTTTTAAGAAGTCAAGATGTAGGACCACTGTAATATTATTATCTAGGAATAGTTAAATTACGTCTATGGAACCAAAGGGAAACATTGTTCATTTAAAAAGTTGGCATTCAACTATGGGAGAAACAGCTCTCCATATCGAACAATCCCCTTAAGAATTTTAAGTGGTCAAGTTTTACTGTAGACTAAAATTTTCACATCTGGT